TATCAGTTAAAGATATATCACTTATAAATCAATAAATTGGCATTTTTGATTTATAAATTCACCTCCTATAAATTTGATCAGCCTGAAACTGAACCCTCCTGGATAAAATTATGACAGATCAGTTCTCTGGTGTTGGAAAACTGAGGAAAGAGTCTTAGTCAAAATATAACCCCACTGCATAGCCTCCTGGCTGACTATGACTTTATCTATAATTAGAAAAAATTTGAAAAATAGTTTCATAAAGTCATCATAGAACTTAAAAATATGTTATAGGACATTGCTATGTGTATCCCTAAGGGCCTATGGTCCTTTGTCTGATGAAAATACCAATTGGTGTTAAGTTAATTCATGCATTTATTAATTCATTTACAAAATATGTATCAAATACTTTCTAATGTGTCACACCTGTTCTGGTGCTGGAAAAACAGTGATAAGTAAGAGAGTGCCTAAGTTTGAAAATGTGAGAACCTATAGGATTTGTGTTCTGACTAATTTTTAGGTGTTCTGTGTGTTTTGTATTTATTAAATCACATGTAGTGAAACAATGTGCCTGGATTATGTTAGCATGGTTACCAGCAGAAAGGTGTTTTGAGAAGTTACCATGTAATATCATTAGAAGATTCTAATTCTCACGGTGGAAATATGTTTTTCCTTGGCATCCTTATCTAAGAGACCATCAAAAAGATATTTCCCTAGGCTTTAGCACAAAGAAAAAAAAATGACTTTCCAGACAAACTCATTTGAATTTTTATCATACAAAAATTATGATTCATCCCATGTTCCTTCCATTTTGTGGTGAGGAGGAGAATAGAAAAATAGAGGGTTTAGGTGTTATTATGACTATTTCCCCATGGCTTCCAGCACAAATATTTTTATTCTTTTAAATTATTTCTGATCATGCTTGTCAATTGCTTAAGTTATTTATTCTTTTACATATATTCAAACACCAAAACTATTAAAAACCCTTTTGAAGTAAAAAAGTATTCTAAATTATTAATCAATCAATAAATGAATAAATATATGAACAGATAGGTAGATGTTTCAAGGATAAATGATAGCTATCATTCTCATAAAAACTTGTATCTTCAAACATAGTCAATATTAGTGCTGCATCATGCTTTTCTACATGCTTTTTAATCAACAAAAATATTATAACTAAGATAACTTAAAGTAGATTTATATCTAAGAATGTACTTACTAATGATTCATTAAAGTCACCAGGATATACATATTTACACTTTTAATCATAGCATTAATGAATTAATATTTTCTAATGCATGTAAAACAGCACTTTGCATAAGTGACACTAGAAATGGTTATTACATAAATTATTCTAGAAATATTATAAACAATTGCTAAAACTTAATAATTATCAACAGTGCATGGTTAACTGAGGAAATATGAGTATCCCAAGAAAAAACAATGGGAAATATTTTAATACTTCCTAAGGTACTTCAAATAAAATTTTAACAAAGCATCATGTCTCTTTTATGTTATAATATTAACATTTAAAATAAATGTGCCTTAGGATGGAACTGCCATCAATAGAACAACACTCCCCAAGAGAAGTTGCAAAACACCTCCTATTAAGTCTGAAATATTAAAAACTGGTTCATTCTGACCACCAGGGATATAGTACAGTGCCAGTACACAATGTACAACTGCATATAGTGATATTAATAATACAGGAGTAGATTGACGATTCACCAAATATCAGGGTGCTCTTCAAAAAAGTAAATGTGGGACATGGGCAAAGAAGGCATAGTCTCTCAGGATCTGGATACAAGAGTGGCTATTATTAGGGGCTTGAGGGTGAGTGAACAGAAAAGAATAAGAATTCTTTAAAGAGTATTTTTCAAATTCTTCCATCTTTAGGGACAGATACAACATAATAACATTTAACTAAAGAAGAAATTAAAGAAGTGGCTTCATAAAAATTTGAAGTGTGATTTTTCTGAGACTCATCTCCATGCAGGGGCAGAACCACTATCAAAGTTAGACCCAAAGGAGCTTTCTTTTTTTTTTTTTTTAATTTTTTTTAATGTTTTATTTATTTCTAGGAGAGAGAGAGAGAGAGAGACAGCGTGAGCAGGGGAGGGTCAGAGAGAGAGGGAGACACAGACTCTGAAACAGGCTCCAGGCTCTGAGCTGGCAGTCAGCACAGAGCCCGACGTGGGGCTCGAACCCACGAACCGTGAGATCATGACCTAAGGGAAAGTCGGACACTTAACCGACTAAGCCACCCAGGCGCCCCGACCCAAAGGAGCTTTCTATAATTCATTACAAAGAAGTACCACCGAGGGACCCATTGAGCATGAGGACTCTAAGCTCCACTTAGAAACTGGAAGAGGCTAGAAATCCAATTGGTACCAAGTTTTATCCCAATGGATCACAAAGATATTAACAATACCCTAGTCTACACATAAAAGCTAGATTATAACAATCAGCATACAGCTGGGGCAGAATTTAAGCGAGGCCCTTCATTTAGTCTCTGCAACAACTTCCAGGTCTAAGTAAGTTGTTTAGCCTTGTATTTGAACCTAATTGGATGTACATTGCATATTGTGGTGTATATTATACGTTTTGGCATACGTTATACACTTGGATAGTGTGCACCTATGTGAAAGGTTCTGTGCCTTTAAAACTGACATGGAAAATGAAGCCAACTTCAGGTATCATATATGAAATAGAAAAGTTATGGGGCACCTGGGTGGCTCAGTCTGTTAGGTGTCTGACTTTGGCTCAGGTCATGATCTCATGGTTTGTGGGTTTGAACAGTTCGTGGGTTTCAGCCCTGCATCAGGCTCTATGCTAACAGCAGAATCTGGAGCCTGCTTTGGATTCTGTGTCTCCCTCTCTCTCTGCCTCTTCCTCGCTCCCTCCTTCTCCCCCTCGCAAAAATAAATGTAAAAACATTTTTTTGAAATAGAAAAGTTACTATCAAAGCAAAGACAGAAGCAAATTCTCAAATGAGTGCTTCTACCCTAACAACAACTTCTATCTTCTGTTTGAAAGCCAGTTGTCCGTTTAAGCTAGAGTGAATAGATGGCTTCTCCACTACTGATTAACTGTAATAGGACCTGTTTTTTTTTTTCATATATATCATGGGAATAATAATAATATCTGTCCCCCATAGGGGTATTTGTGGAGCTTAAAAAACAGTTAAAAGGGGCATCTGGGTGGCTCAGTGAGTTAAGTGTCCAACTTCAGCTCAGGTCATGATCTCACAGTTTGTGGGTTCGAGCCCTGCATTGGGCTCTGTGCTGACAACCAGCTCAGAGCCTAGAGCCTGTCTTCAGATTCTCTCTCTCTCTCTCTCTGACCCTCCCTTGCTCACGCTGTCTCTCTCTCCCTCTCTCAGGAATAAATAAAACATTAAAAAAAAATTTTAAGTTAAAAGCATCTATTAGCATTCCCTAGAACAATGCTGTCCAATAGAAATGCAACATCCTTTATATCTAATGCATATTTTGTACTTAGTGTACATCTTAATTTAAGCTCCATTTCAAGTACTCAGTAGCCACATATGACTCTTTAGATTACTATACTGAACAAGCAGTTCTGCAATATAGTTAACACTCATTAATACATTAGTATTAACATTTGTAATAGTATTAGTATGACTACTACTTGACATTACTGGTATTGGTATTATTGTTACCCTTACAAAAACCCTAAACTGTATTTTTAACTGTTCATAGAATTATAAAATAATTTTAAATCCTTAGCTAATTTTCAAAATATACAAGTTTCCAGTGATGCTATAAAAGCTAATAAAAATGAAGGCAGATATGTGTCTTAGTATGTTAAGAAAAATTACAATGAAAATTATCAAAGAGCATGGCAAACATTAAATGGGAGAAAAACTATATGGATATGGAGGAAATTTTCAGATGTAGCATATATTTCAAGAAAAGGTTTTTAGAAGGCAGGATTTAAGGCTCTAAAACACAGGTCCAAACTTTGGCATATAGCTAATATAGTAGGAATTATTAACTACATTCTCTGTGTATTACCCAGAAAATCCAGATAAATTTAAAGGCAAGACAATTTAGGTATGTTTTTAATTAAACAAAGTCAGAATTTTTCAAGACACTCTAAAACATAATTATAAGTCAAGGAGCCTCTTTGGCCTGAATCCACAAAGCATTCTTTCACCCGCTCTCATTCTGAACCCCTAATTATGTTTCAGATACCACTTAGCCTTCCCTTCATTGGGAAGCTTTTCCTCACCCTAAAAGACCCTGATAGATGTCTATGGAACCTTCTTTTATCTTTATCATAGTTCTTACCACAATGTATTTCAATTCCAAGAATACACACCTACTTTGTTTTCTTTTTGAAGCTTTTTTTGTTTGCTTGTTTGTTTACTTTCTATCCCTGAAAGATCTTGTAATTTCCTAGGCTTTCAACTATTTATATATATAGCTTCTAAATCTATATCCGAAACCTGCTGGAATTCTCTTTGATATATACAAACTAAAATTATCATCCTATCTTTTCTAAATCTCCTCCTCCTCTTCCACCACCTCCTCCTCCTCCTTTTTCTAACTCTTATTTAACAACTTCACTGTTCTCTTGGTCACACACACATAAAAAAACAATTTTTTTTTTCAATTCATTCCTGCTTCTTCCTTTCACTATGTCACCCAGACAAAACATGGCCAATCCTATAGATAACCCCAGTAACCACTGTCTTCAGAACACATTTCCGTTATTCTGACTCAAAGCTCATTAGTTCCTACCTACGTGAACACCTTCCCACTGGCCCTCCAATTCAAGAGTCTCTCTGACCCCACCTTGCTGACACATTGTTGCCAAATTTTCTCTTTTTTAAATCTTTTTATTTGAGTATAAATGGCACACAATGTTACATTCATTTCAGGTGTACAACATAGTGATTCAACAACTCTATACCTTATGCTATGTTCACCACAAATGTAGCTATCATCTGCCACCATACAACACTATTACAGTCACTGACTATGTTTCTTATGATGAAAAGTATGGAATGCTTCACAAACTTGGGTATCATCCTTGCACAGAGGCTTTGCTAATATTCTCCGTCTCGTTCCAGTTTTAGTACGTGTGCTGCCAAAGTGAGCACTGCTAAATACTTAATACATCTATTTGTCCATGCTACTCTGTTCTAATTCCTTTGCTTGTCCTAGCATATTAAACCTCTAAGCCTGGCTTCCTAAATTCCCCATAAAATGACCCTAAACCATCCTTCCATCCTTATCATCTACAACATCCTCAGTTAATTAAACATTCCGGACAAATTCTCTGTCCCTCCAAAAAATCCCTATGCTTGCTCAATTTCATTATTTTTTCATTTCCTTTGCATATGAAGACATCACTCACACAATCTATACTAAAAAATACTTTTTTTAAAAAGTGATCTTTCCCTGACTTAATTCCCAACCTATATTTTGAAACATAATTTATATTATTGAGTTCCATCTATTTTTTTTTAAAAAATATTTATTTATTTTGAGGAGACAGAGAGACAGAGTGCAAGCAGGGGAGGTACGGAGAGAGAGAAAGACACAGGATCTGAAGCAGGCTCCAGGCTCTGAGCCGTCAGTCCAGACCCCAACACAGGGCTCAAGCCCACAAAGTTCAGGTTCATGACTTGGGCTGAAGTCGGACGCTTAACCAACTGAGCCACCCAGGCACCCTTTCCTCTTTTTTTAAAGCTTCTAGTCAATTTCAAGTTCCTGGACGGTGGAATCATGTCTTGTTTTTCCTGGAATTACCTTTAATTCACCACCATACAGAAAAGTAGTAAAAATATGAATGGAAGAAGAAAGCTCTCCTGACAATGTCCCTGCAAATGTCCCACAGTGAATTAGAATCAAATTGAAAGGGTCTGGTTCTGCTTTAGGTAGAAGAAACATCCAATTTAGGGTAGGCTTCTTCAATTTGTGGGGAGTTTGAAACACCACAGAGAAATTTAGTAGGTAAATAATGGAAAAATATTTGCGGGTGACCATTATTTAACATTTACTAAATGCCTATTGGCATCCTTAAAATATTTCAGATACGGAAAGAAGTTCCAAAAAAGATAAAATACTTCATCATCTACAGTATTTAAAAACTCATTCTAATAGGTGGTTGTACTGTGGAGAAGTTTCTCTTGAGAATAAAAGATCAGCAGAACCATCCATACTTGTTTACAAAGCCAGCTTTTAGCTTAGAAGTTTCCTGGAGTTGAAAAGATAGTAACTCAAAAAGTACTGAGCAGTTGAACTCAAGTCACCTTTGAGTATTTTCTTTTATTTTTAGCAGTTTCCCTGTTTCTTTTAGGCCCATAAAAAATGCAAACTAGATCTTAGTAGAGAGGAGGCTGTAGACTTACAAATTAGAAAAAGGCTGTTTGATAATAAAAAAAAAAAAAGCAAAATGCAAGTAAAACAGCAAATGAGATTACAAATAAATTTAAAATGTCAGCTATAAAAAGGATCATGGCTAAAGATCATAACAGATGCAAGTAATTTTAATAATCTAAAAAGCAAGGCCAGAGACGATTGGAAACAAAACTAAAATAACAAATGGTAACTGAGCAAAATATTTAATTATTGTAGCTGTTTAAAGTTGCAATAAAATCTCTTTAGCTGATCAGAATGTTCTCAGGACATAGAATTTTATTCTTCTTTCATAATATAAATCTCAAGTATTCTAGATAATTTTCCTATTTTTTCTTATACATACAGCATAGCAATCTCTGAATGGTTTATGTGTTTTTTCTCAAATCACTCAAATCTTTGGAAGACCAAATTGAAATTATATGTTTCTATACATAAACTGATTCTTCTTCAAGGCACAAATCTCAAAAAATAATGTAGGGTCAAACTATCCCCATAGCATGAAGAAGACATTCTGTGTCTTCAATATATATACCGGACATATAGTTAGGGTAATGATATGTTATTATAAGAAAATAAATGGGAGTTAGGCATGATATGAGCTTTCTCTATTATTTCAGTCTTATTATCTATTACTTCTTCAAAACATTCTTATTTACAGTATAAAAAAGAATGAAATTTTGCCATTTGCAACAACATGGAGCTAGAGAGTATAATGCTAAGTGAAATAAGTCAGCCAAATAAAGATAAATACCATATGATCTCACTCATATGTGGAATTTAAGAAACAAAACAAATGAGCAAAGAAAAGAGAAAAGCCAAAAACAGACTCTTAGCTATAGAGAACAAAACTGATGGTTACCAGATTGAGGTGGAGAGGGGACGGCAATGAGGGAATAGTATGGAGTTTAGAGAGTACACTTACCATGATGAAATAAAATGATTAAAATATATAGATATTCTTATAGTCTAGTCACACATTTCAGAAACATCCCCAAGTTCTCCTATATAACTACGCCTCTGCTCCTGCTAATTTGTCTTTCTCATATGGTATTTCCAATTTGTCCACATGATGGACTCCTACTCATCTTTAAGACAATTCTAGTATCATCTCCTCTCTGAAGCCTTCCCAATCCATTCCCAGTTCTACCTGATACTTTATATATAATCCATCGGCAATCATCATATTGTATTCTAATTATTTTCAACCCCTTGAGACAAGAAACTGTGCCTTACTTGTTATTGTGAGTTTTAATACAGAACTCTGTTTCATTGTTGTATGAATGTTGATCAAATCCACATGTCTATATGTATGACTGTAAGTTCCTCGAGGTTAGAAGCATTGTGCTATTCATCACAGGACACACAAACCTAACTTTTTTTTAAGATTATTTATTTATTTATTTATTTATTTTATTTCTAGGAGAGAGAGAGAGACAGCGTGAGCAGGGGAGGGTCAGAGAGAGAGGGGGACACAGACTCTGAAATAGGCTCCAGGCTCTGAGCTGGCAATCAGCACAGAGCCCGACGCAAGGCTCGAACCCACGAACCGCGAGATCATGACCTAAGCGACTAAGCCACCCAGGTGCTCCCACACAAACCTAACTTAGTTAGGTTCTACATGGAATGTTTTAGTGAATTACCTTGCAATCAAGAAAGAAAAAATGTTTAAAAAGCTATGGACTAGTGTTTAAACTATCATTTTATAATAGTGGGTTAATTTAGATTCATGTATCTATACAAAAGAAAATACAGAATATACCAAAGATTGCGGAGTTTACTAATATAAGCTCCTCTTTGCAAATCATTTGTATCATTATTTCCTGGAAAAATTCAGAAACATCTATATCTTTACAGAGGACTCTCTCTTGATAAAATGATAAAAAGTACTTAAATTTTTGACCACCACAGGAAATGTTTTCATAAGTTAAGGAGTGAAGGAAACCAAAAAAAGAGTCACTATTTTGAAACTTATTTAATATCATGGGAAAGTCAGTACAACATAGTGCCAGGGTTGGATTCTCAGCCAACTCAAAATACTCTGTGCTTGCAAACTTGAACAGTTTACTTAGTTTTTCAATGCCTACATTTCCTCAGCTGTAAAATGGGGGGAAAAAAGTAATTCTGCTCCCCTCAGAGCATCACTGGGAAGGTTAAAGCTGTTACAATTTTTGTAACCACTGTGTCTGGAACATAATAGGTTCTTAATAAAATGTAAGTGATTATGACATTAATATACCAGATAATCTTCAATAACAGGAGTAAAATTCCATTCTCCCCCAGTGTGGGAAGATGAAAGCTCCCTGATCCCTCCACATTACCTGGCTAACCAAAGGAGTTCGAAATTGCTATAGTCCTTATGAAACAAGCACCTCTGAACCTATCAGATTGTTCTTATTGGCAGAGTACCTGGAAACAATGGAAATCTTTAAGGAATACTATGTCTTTTTGCAAAAGAAATGAAATATGATTACATTTAATTCTATCCTACATATCAAAAAAAAATGTGGCTAGCAGAAAATATTGTTATGTTGTAGCACACATATTACCACAAATGGATACTCCCAGAAAAAAATATATTGCTGTTAGTTATTGATGATTATTCTTTTGGCATTTATTTGGCCTACTACCTCTAATACTATTATGATAAATAGTCCCTTTAACTAAAGAAAACCTGTTTTAACATCTCAGAGTTACTTTCTTTTTATTTTTTCTATCCATAATTTTGAGTTAATTTGTTTACTTTTCATTATTGTGATTTTTCTGTAAAGACAAATTTGTAACCCATTTTCCTCTTTCTCCTTATGATATATTCTTCCACATTAATGTAAACTATTCCACTATAAATATAAATTAATAATTGATAATAATTTAAATGGCTACATAATGTAATACGTATCACTTAAAATTTTCCTATTTTTGAACATTTGTTTTATTTTTATTATAAATAATGCTACCATGAATATTTTCATGCACAGTTTGTTTTCCTGCTTTATCCTCATTTCTTAAAAATTTTAAGATAGAAGAATAATTCAAAGGAAAGAATTCAACACATTAGTTTAGAGTATGTTTCCAAAGACTAGGAGTAAATTAACCAGTAGCAAAACATCTTGTACTATCTCGAGGACTACTGATGTTCCACAATACACATACATAATAAAGTTTTAAAACCCGTGTTCAAACAGAAAGAAAAAAAGGATAAAGTAGACTTGCTGGTTGGGAAAATGATCTAGAGATAATAGAAGGAAAAGAATATTGTTCATTTCACATCTTCTGGCATTAAGAAGAATTAATGAAACTAATATAACACTACATGTTAATTATACTTGAATTATAATAAATAAATTTTTAAAAGAGTAAAATGGATGGAGTGACAGAAATTGCTATAAGTCATTTACATATATTATCTCACTTGATCTTCTTAAGAATTCTCTGAGCCAGGTACAGCTCTTATTCCCATTTTTCATGAAAAAACAGTCACAGAGAGGTTAAGCAGCCTTCCAAACACCACACAGCTTATTATTGCTGGAACCAGACTTCAAACAAAGGGTGACTGACAAATAGTCTGTGCTCTTAACCACCTCAAACTTCTGCTTCCACAGAACATGGAGATAGACCTCAAGCGAAGGAAGTAAGGTTTAACAAAAGATCGCAAAAATTCAATTTAAATAAATTCAAGTCTATAGGACTAATTTCTCAAATATTTTATCCATAGTGTTGGGTATGTATTTATAAAACA